ATTAACTATATGTTATGTGGTCTGTTACCTATTTCTGTTGCAACATGCTTCTCATGCACACTGAGGAAGTCTGATTTTAGAATTATAGCAGACAAAAGCAGTGAGTTAACCTGATAAAGGGGCAGACATTTACTCAGTGGCACTTGAGCACAAATTTTAACCTCAGTGATTTGGTCTGATATTGTAGTTTAGCTAGTGAAAATGAGTATTTATTTATTTTAAGCTACTGGGGCCCAATCCGAATACTGGACTGGTGGAGCATTGGGAAGTGAGCCATCTATGGGCAGCATGATGCAACTTCAGCAGTCTTTCAGAGGACCTGAGTTTGCTCACAGTTCTATAGACGTGGAAGGACCCTTTGCAAACATAAACAGAGGTAAGAAATTCGTGCTTTCTAACTACTTGGGTCTAAAAGTTGTTATTTATGGATTGTAAATAAATGCTTTTTACCATTGAAGTATTTTGTGTCCATTCTTACCAAATTCCCCAAGGATCAAGAAGAGCCTCTAGCTGTTGAGGCTTTAGTTGTTCTAACACAGTGGTGGTGCTCAACCTCTAGCCCGTGGACCTGATTTAGTGCATGGAGCTGTGTCATCCAGCTCATGGGGCTACTTTTTGGGTCCAAAAATTCAGCAGCCTGGGAACCCATAGTTGCAGCAGCTAACACTGCTACTGCTCCCCTGCTGTCAAATTTCTGGGCCTATGGTGAGCCCTGATGTCCAGATAACATGGCTCTCTGCACCAGATCATGCTGGCACATGGGATTGCACTGTGCCTAGATCCAGCATGTGGGGTTAGGCTATACATGAAGTTGTGCTGTGGCTGGATTTGGCATGCAGGTATGTGTGTATAGAGATATAGATACTTGCATACCTTAACTGTGTCTTTTAAAGTGGTCCATCTTTGCCTTATCCTCCAGGCTCCCTGATTCTTCAGCGCATGATACATGCATATTGCTACAAAGTAATGTCCCGATTCTTTAGTTGGATTAGCATAGTCATTGAATTAAATGGAGCTCTGTGATTATGAGGGTCTATTCAGTAGATCTGATTTCAAGATCAAGGCCTATGTGTGTTGTATTACACTGGCATAATGTGAGAGATCATGCCTGATTTTCAGCCTATTCTAGTATTTTGTAGTTGGTAACAACAGTGGTCACTTTCTAACTTGTCCTGATTAACTGAGTATGATATTCATCTGTGACCAGCAGTTAGATTTACCTTTTGGGGACCCCATGAAAAGGTTTGGTTTCAGGTCCCTACTTCTTGCTAAACGAGCATACTAAAACATAGCTGTAAAAGGGGGAAGGGGAGTGTGACAGGAGTATCACTATTGGAGCCTTTCTGGGAGTGGCTCCGCCCTCCTGTAATGGGCTAACCGCCTGCTTACTTTGCTGCCGCGCCTTGATCTTACTTGATTAGTAGATTGTTGTAATCAGCAGGAGGCTGCCCATTTTTTCGCGCCCCGGTGACAGGGGGTGCTGCCTGTGGCTCCTTTTCTTCCCCTACACCGCAGCCCAAGCCTCACAGATGGTGCTGACGTGGTTTGACCTGGGCCGTGTTATGTCTTGGCCTACCTCTTTACTCCTGGGGCTCCTTGCTGCCCCCCTCTCGCTCTGGGGCTCCTTGCTGCCCCCCTCTCGCTCTGGGGCTGGGGCCAATGCATCCCAAAAATGCTGCGCCCTCTCCAGCGCCAGGAACCCCCACGCTACTGGGGAGTCCCTATGAGGCCTCCTTCAACCCCTAATAGCTCACCTGGTCCTCCAGTCAAAACAGTGAACATAAAAACACAAAGCCCCTGGACTACAACATAAAAACTAGACTGTCCGGTCAAACCAGATTCACTCCCTACTAGGGAGAGAGGGCTCCCCAACCCCAGCAGCAACCGAGGGGATGTTCACACCGCCAGAGTTCTCCCCTTTGTCTGTCCTAGCTGAGTTCCTGCTCCCACGGCCGCTGGAGAGGAACTAGTCTCCTGGTCTCCTACCTGGGCTTAAGAAGGGCTAAGCCCTGCCCCTTCCTGTCAGCTGGTTTTACTGGTTGCCTTGGCAACCAACACCTGCGCAGCCCTGGTGACTAGCAGCTGAACCTCCCCCTTCCTGCCACTAGGGGTCTCTCCTGAGCCTTCTCCGCTTTCAGGCGCAGGGCACCTGTGTGCACTGCGACAGGGAGTTTTGCACAGGTTGCATTGTCTAATGCTTTCCTGCCTGTGACACTCCATAAATTTAGGTTAGTATTCAGACTTCAAGCAGTTTGTCTTTCTGACTTTAAGTTTCCTTGGACCTGTAGCTTTGGAACGTCAGCTTAGTTCCTTGTAAAGGTTAATTTATTTGAATTTGAGACTCTTTGGTAATGTTAGACTACAAAATAAGAAGCAAAGAATTAGTTTTAAAGCTTTCTGTGATTAATTAACTTAGGGTACAAACTTTGAGAACAATGCAATTTATGAACAGAAAAATAGCATTACATATTGCTTCCGCAGTGTTTAGCAGGATAGTTTATTTACAATTAATTTTGAAGATGCAGGGTTTGCTTGGGTATTATTCAGTTATAATAATGGACATTTTTCTTGTTGGGGGATTTAATTTTGTTTGTTTGTTGGGTAGCTGTTAACCAGACTTCCTGGATACATTTCACACATCATTATTTTAAATAATTTACCATTAAAGTTCTGTGTGTGTGAATATATTAAATATGCTTCTAACATTTTCTGTTTTTCTAGGTTTATATAATTCTTCATATTGTTTAAATCTGACTTATAAAATGAAATCTAAAGTGTTCATATGAAAAATGTCTGAAAAAAATAATTTTACTTGAGACGATAGAGTGAACTCTGTTTTTATATATTGCTTATAGATGACTGGGATGCTGCTGTTGCCAGTTTATTGCAGGTCACACCACTGTTTTCCCACTCTCTCTGGAGTAACACAGTAAGGTGTTATATCATTAGTACAGATGAGACCCAGCCGGAGGTGGATATCTTCATTAGGGTGAGAACATAACAAAAGTTATGTTAATTGATAATTAATTATGATGAACTATTCTTCCTCTTTGTTATTTTTTTCAATAAAACTCTGTAATGTTTCTTAAAAGGTTTTGTGGATGCTCCTGGTTCCGTTCAAATCAGTGGGAGTTTTATCAAGTATTTCAAAAGAACAAAGCATATTCAGGAAAGAAATTGGGGTTTAACTAATAGGTCCTTACTGAAGTGTAGAATTAGTAGTAAAGCATGGCTAATTTATATTTGTTTTTAGAACTACTCACCAAAGCTTCAAAGAATCTGTGAAACAAAGGGGTACTTCTTTCAAGTGGTTCATTTTCCATCAGAAAATCAGTGTCAATTCAAGGATGTGAGAAAATGGGAAATTGAAAAAAGTTTCTTAGTCATTTTGCTCATGAAGTCAACTTTGCCAAGGTAAGTTAATCATTCTGCAGATTGGAAAGGCAAAGAGAAACAGATAATTTATGCATAATGCATGACTTATTAAAATCTATGTAGCCTTCCACATACAGAATTTCTTAAGCTGTTTCTTCTAATACACCATCCTTCAGATTTACTAGCACAGACAGTTCAAAGAATGTAATTTCTTTATGATATTCCCTTATCCTGCACTTCTAGATTTTTATTATAATTGAGCATAAAAGATATCTTCATAATATGCAGATTTCTTGCTTTCTAAGACCAGTGTTCTGCATTGCATATTGATAGAATTGTAGAAATTAGAAATTATATGTGAAAGTCTACTGTGTGTTTCATTCACTTATCTGTCTATCCACCTGCCTGTATTACTTGTGTTCACTTGCATATTTTTTTAGTCCCTCATGAACTTCTGGCCAACTTCACGGGTCTTACGTATCCTACACTTGTCTGTCGTGACTTAATTTGCTAAAGCTGTGATGTTTTGCAGCAACTGGCAACACGGTGCTTTCTGTTTGTATAATGGATTGTTGATAGTTTACCAGAAGAAATGCGAGTCTTTGAATGAAACATACTGAATCAAAGATACTTTTAGAATTCAGTTATGATTATTTCTATTGCACATAATGGCATTTTTAGGGGATATTTTTCTCTATATACAATGAAGAAAGGAGAAAAGGGGGATTAGAAGGAAAAATAGTAAACTGGTGTGGAGTAGCTGTTTCAGCATATTTAGAAAATAAAAAGCTTTGAGATTCTAGAGTACCTTTGATTAGGTAGCACTGAGTTTCATACTAGGAAAAGTCTCTGAACCTTGGAATTTCACTTTTGCAATATTGTTTGAGCTGGGAGATATTGGTAAAGTAGTCTTGCTGGGGCTACAGAGGCATGGTCCAAACTTGTTCTGAAGGCTGCTCCTAGTCAACCCAAGTGCACATGAGTAGCTGGCCAGTTAGGTTGAGGAGTCAATAGCAGCTGGACAGGATGCTACCCAATATTGCTCTCTTACGTGTCATTGGCGTTGTTACTAAGATGGGCCATTTGACTTGCACAGGCCTTTGACTTGATTGTTTATATTGCTGAAGCTCCTGATAGACTGAACATTTCACTTCTATGACCTGAAATCCTCTGTTAAAATATTTGGCTGCCTCTGTTGTAAAAGGCATGCCTTTTAGCTTTTGTAGTGAAACTCATCCACGGAGCTTACAGTGATTGAAGTGTTTACTGCAACAGTGTAATATAGCACAAGAATGCTGATTTCCAATCTAGCTGTTTGCTGGACGACTGTGAAGAAGCCTTCTTGAAAAATCCTGAAGGAAAACCCCGTTTGATTTACCGCAGAATAGAGGAAGGCACAGTTGGCTCGGATTCTGTGCAGCAGTTAATCGAGCAAGTTTGTTACGTGAACAAAGCAAAGGTACCACATGTAGAATGTTTCTGTGATTTGTTCTAGCTTTATCACTTCAAAACCCAGCTGACTTCAGATATAAAAAAAAAAAGAATTATACATTCTTGGCTATGGACATTCAAGACAAGTAGTGTGTGATAATCCAATTTAAGTATTTTATGAAATTGTCAGTAGAATTTGAGGACTGACTCTTCATGAAAGCTTAAACAGATTTGAAAATAAAATTATTTAAGGCTGCTGACGGAGAAGAATGTTGTCCTATTTGTATTATGGAATACTTAGAATTTAACAGCAAATTAATTTTGGATTTTTTTTGAGATTTTTTTTTTTTTTAAATCTTTTTGGGAGAAGGGAAAAACATACAATAGAGAGCTCCCTAGTATATTTAAAATGTAGAGAAAGTATTATGTATCTTTTTTTTTTTTTAAGATATCAAAACAAAATACATCTGACTCAAAGTCCCTTCCTCCTGCTTTTGCACTAGTTCAGTGATTCTAAATCACGCTGCTGTGAGAGCATTTTAATGGTGTCATGCTATATTAGCACTGTTAGATGTGCAAACAGTTATATATGTTTCACAAGATAAACACAGAAATTTCAAATAGGAATCCATGGTGTCAAACACTTTCTGACCTGTCATGGTCCTTTTGAGTTCTTTGCCACAGAAGAATTGTTCTATTATTTTTCCATAGTCAAAAAACAAATGACAGCTAAGAAGGGTCATTCTGTAAGCAGTGCCTTGAAGATTGAGAACCACTGGACTGGATACTTAAACAAGGAAAAATACATACAAACAGTCCTATATAGCACAAAGTATGAACTGATTTTCAGAAGCAGAACAGTTTTCTGGAGTTGGATTGTTTCTTGGTTTAGTAGATTTTCCTGGCAGTCTTCTTAAAGTTGTTGTACACACCCCTTTTATTAGCAACCAAACAAAGTTGTTTTTAATAAACCAGTCTCTAGATCCCTTTCTCAGAGCAGAGGAAAAACTGTACTGGATTTTAGATTTTCGTGGAACCTTTCTAGTCACTGAGTTGGCCAAGAAAGTCTTTGCATGGTAGAGATGCATCACTTTCAAAAGAATCCTAACTTGCAGTGCTAGAGTATAAACCTCTAAAGTACATTTCATTTTGAAAGGTGCCTAATGTTCTGGAGAGAACACAAGATTTGTTTATATCTCAATAACTGCCTTCAAATTGTACAGTCAGTTTCAGAGTTGCTTTATATGTATTTTGTCATTACCTTCTTCAGATCATTGATCACATGGGAGAAGTAGATGAAGGAGCATATGAAATTGCTAACTGTGTGGAAAAGATCATTAAGCAGGTAGAGTGTATGATGCAGTACAGCTTTGCCCATTCTTACTTGGAATTATGATAAAATCGTAAATGTTGGCAAAATGAGTGATATTATGATGTGATTTTAAAAGCTTCTCTTTGTTTCAGTGTTAATACTTGGAAGTAAAGAGTGTTGCAGATGATGAGAATAATTCAAGACTTATGATATTTTATGTAACCCCTGTCATGGGAGGATTAAAGTGAACATCTTTGCGCACAGCTGACCTGAGCAGGTGCAGGGCCCGGGGCAAATCAGCCCATGTGGGCCCCCCCCCACTCCTATCCCATGGGCCCTGGACTCAAAGAAGCTGCCGCTGCCATTGGCAGTGTTGGGCGGGGGGAGGAGCAAGTGGCTAGAGGTGGAGCCGCTGCTCCGCCCAGCTTTGTGGAGCCCCCCAAAGCATTGGGCCTGGGGTGGTTGCCCTGATTCGCACCCTCCCTCCCCGCCAATGGCCCTGATCTTGAGATTTCTATGTATAGAGTTACCTGGACCTATATGAAGTGTAGTCTTTGCTAGTGTGAATGTGCATAAATTTGTTGATATTAGTAGAGTTGGACTTATCTATATAGACTGTTACCTAAAATGGGAAGAGAGAGTACATCAAAGTTTAGTCAGATATATGTATGTCAACTTTATAGTGACACATACCACAGAGGCTACAAATTCATACTGCAATGGAGGTCCCATATGACATCCAAGAGTGTGCACTTTTTTCTCAAGAAAGTCTTGGGCAATCAGAGCAAATACTTTTAAGGAGTACAGTTACAGTGTCTTCATATGGTTTGTTTTTTATACAGGATATACTGGGCTATGAAAACACAGAACTGGAAGGCAAGGATTTGGGGAATAAAGAGGAGTCCACTGCTCCTGAAGAAGATGATTTTGGAGATGTACTTTGGGATGCACATGATGAGCAAGAACAGATGGAAGCTTTCCAGCAGGCTTCTAATTCAACTTGTGAGCTTGGATTTGGGAAAGTAAGCAAACAGAAGTGTACACTAATCAAAATATGCCTCTTTCTATTTTATGTGGAGCAGTGATAATGCTATCTGAAAGGAAATAGCTTTAAGACTTTAAAGCTTTTACTGCTTAGGCTTGGAGAGATTGTATGCATCATACAAATGACATATTTCATTTTTGGGAATAATGCCAGTTATGTCTGTCTTGTAGTACCATTGATGAAGAAATTAATCTTGTTTCTTCAATAGAGGAAATATACTATGATAACACACCAGTGTATTTGCCTAGGAGGTGGGTAACATACCATCCTCCAAAGCCTAAATGAAAATTCCCATCTGAACACTTCTATTTTTTGTATATTTAGAACTGGATAATGAAAAGATTATCTTTGTGTGAAAGAAAGAGCAAAATTAAGAAGGGGGCCTAATGAATGCTCAGTACTTCCTGGACTACTTTATCTTAAAACCCTCCCAAACTACTGGTCAAAAATTAATAATATATAGGAAAGATAGAATTGGTATTGTTAGAAGAACCTGTATGTTAGAAGCCTCTGATGGGGAATGATGTTAAAGCTTGAGTTGGATGGCACTCTTTCATGTTGTGATTTCAGTTTGTAGTGCAGTTTTTCTACCCAAAGGTAAATCAGCACAGTTGCAGTGTGGATGAATTTAGAGCAGTGTAAATACAGTTTATCCCCCTTCGTTTACAGGAATATGGTCATACTGATCATCTTTTATATCTGTAATAACTGCATCTGTACAAGTGGTGTGTGTACCACTTCACCTATATACTCTTATAGCAGTACCATTGGATGTGTAAAAAAAAAAAATTTCTAAGACAGCTTCTACTGGTCTTATATAGTGCATGTATCCAAACACAGCTTTTTGGCCCATGGACTTTTTCAGAACAGCATTTCCGGACTGGCCTAAGGTGAAGACCTCTTGTGTTGGAGACTGGAGCAGATGCATGTAACTTCAGGAATCAGATTTGGAGAGTGAATGCTTAGCAAACTGTCCATCCCCCTGACAAAGATTGTCCTGTACAACACTGACAAAACTAGCATAGCCTGTTCCGCTGTGCCCAACAGATGAAAGCTGCACAAAAGATATTTGAATGTTATTTTTATTTGATTAGCTTATTTTAGAAATTAGAATTAAAGAGTTAAGTGTTAATTTGGGCTTGAAATTCTAAGGAATGTGTCTTGCTAGTCTTCTGAGGGTTTGTGCAA